GGACCTTATGGACCTACAGATCATGAGCTCCAACGATGCGAGATTAACCGGTTAAACTCTTTAACCTAGTTAACCAACAATCGTTAACTACGCGGTCACTCCACTAAAGCCCGTAGCTGCACTCTCCTCACTGTAGATATATTATGTCCATTTGATATAACYATGATCGGTAAGTCGACCCTTCACAGGTTKTTCGTAATTACAGCTSGGTCAAAATACCGCTTTACCCCTGTAATTACCTCTTGTTCCTTAAGTCCCACTAATCCTCTGATGAACAATGATTTGTAGTCCRACTATCAAATCAAAAWATCCTCTCAAACCTTTTGATGAGGGTGGCGCCAATTGTTCAAGACCTGGATTCAGCCCTTAAGAGAACAACCTCTCTACTATCCCAAAATTGGGTAGAAGTGAATTCCTTCTTGCACCCTATGTCCCTGGCTATCTACCGGGTCTTACCCCTGAAATGGGAGGCTTATTGAGCCAGCGCTGTTCAGCTGCTCTCACCCATGCAGATTTAAGGATAATCCCGAGTAAACAGAAGTTCATAGTTAGCTCAGGATTAAGATCGAGTTACCTAGGCCATCAAAGTTGAGATAGTCAGTTTCAAACAGTAAAACGGTGTTATAAAGTAAAAGTGACTATCTCATGGTCCGGTCTTATGCAAACTCTTTGCACGGGACACCCCCACTCGCATGTCTTCACATGAACGAATTAGGATCACATCGTTTGTACTAGCTACAAAGTGGGCCGCATCCATAGTGTCCCCAAAATAAGGCGCCCAACCTTATTCCTATACTATAGACCATTTAGACTGTTAACTCAAACTTGATCCATATTTATGTCTCTTACATAGAGTTTGAGTCTCAGGTAACAGTCTAGGATCCTTTATTTTATTGGATTTTGATATAGTAAGAACATTTTATTGGATCAATAACTACTTATTGATTAAAATCTTCAATAACAACTTTATTGAATGATAAAAGTATATCTGTCATTTTCAAACTATGAGTTTTAGGACATAAAACCCAACAAACTCCCACTTGGACTAAAACTCCAATGGTACATTTTATTGAGTTTAAGTGAGAAAATACAAGAAGATTGGGCATACATCAGATACACGCCGAATTATTCTCCCACTTATCCTASTTTACAAAACTCGTAGTCCTAGACTCTCTAGGTGACCCTCAAACACTTTAGCCRAGAGRGCCTTAGTAAATGGATYAGYAAGATTCTCTTCCGARGCTATCTGAGTGACGACCAYGTCTCCCCGGTTTACTATCTCCCTTATGAGATGGTATTTCCGCTCAATATGCTTTGCGCGCTTATGGCTTCTAGGTTCCTTGGAATTTGCAACTGCTC